TTTTCATTTGCATACAAAGTTCTCTCTATATTGCGGTAAGTATTGCATATTACACACGATGAATAACGTTTTCATTTGCATACAAAGTTCTATATTGCGGTAAGTATTGCATATTACACACGATGAATAACGTTTCATTTGCATACAAAGTTCTATATTGCGGTAAGTATTGCATATTACACACGATGAATAACGTTTTCATTTGCATACAAAGTTCTATATTGCGGTAAGTATTGCATATTACATACGATGAATAACGTTTTCATTTGCATACAAAGTTCTCTATATTGCGGTAAGTATTGCATATTACACACGATGGATAACGTTTTCATTTGCATACAAAGTTCTATATTGCGGTAAATGTTGAATATTAAACACGATGAATAACGTTTTCATTTGCATACAAAGTTCTAAGATGTATTATATCTTGCATACAACGTTCTATTACGTTTTAAATTGCACACATACAAAGTACTATAATGAATTTTATCTTGCATATAATGTTCTATAACGTTTTTACTTTATAAACAAAGTTCTATAATGCGGTAAATATTGCATACAAATGAGTCCTTCTCTTGAACACCAACTAACTGCCTTACCCAAATATCTGCACAATTGCATACAACACGATGAATAACGTTTTAATTTGCATTCAACGTTCTTTAATGCATTATAACTTGCAAGCAACCTTTTATAACGTTTTTAATTTGCATACAAAGTTCTATAATGTATTAAATCTTGCATACAGCAATCAATAACCTTTTAATTTGCTTACAAAGTTTTATAATGCTTTCATATATATATGAATACGAAGCTCTTAAACGTTTGCAATTTGCATACAAAATTCTATAACTTTTCAAATGCGTACAAGGACATTAAGCGTTTTATATCTGAATTCGAGGTTCTATATCGTTTTACTGGTGAATACAAAGTTATATGAGACTTCTAAACGAATACTGAATACAAAATTCAATAATGTTTTCCATGTTAATACGAAGTTTTATGTGAAAAAATAGTACAAAAGGGAAATTGTATTGAGATCAGGTAGATAAATTAAGAAAAAAGGCATCTCCTGATTGTGCAAATAAAAGTTACTGATGGCTTGCGCCACCTGTCGGAATAAATATAAACTAATCGTTGATTCTTTATTTATTCCCGAATTGATTAAATACCCATTCTTGATTAATCAAGAAAAGCTAACCACGTACGCGTTTCGGGCTGTTGGCCCTCGTCAGCGTGGTGCAAGCTGTACCTTAACAAAGTTTTATGACATTTTTTATGTGAATATAAAGATCTGTGAAAATTCGAAACTATTATAGACGCGTATGATTCTTTTTAAAAATTAAACAATTTCTACTGTCCTTACTGCAATGGAAAAATTGAAGTGAGGAGTGAGAGTTTATTATAGATGTTCCCAACTTCTATCAAAAGGTCGTTTCGTTCATTTGGATTTTCGAGACGATGCTCTTGCTATACTTGAAGCCTTTTGGGAACGATGGCATAAAGCGTTAAATGCTTATATGGCTGAAGCAAACGATGCCTATCTTCAGCTGCAATTGCTCAAATTGGATTATGGCGTTGTGAATGCCATTGCTAATGCTGTTGTCCATTACAAAGGGAACTTGGACCTCTATAAAGATTCGAAAGATGATGCTAATATCTACCAATGCCAGATGCATCTTCAAGAAACTAATATAGCAGAATATATTCAAGTACCTATACCTCCTGGATCGAAAAAGACATGGTTAACATTAAATAGATGTATATAGAGTAGAGATTTTTTAAAAGAAATTTTGTTAAGAAATATAATGATAGAAGATTCTTAATTCAGTTTTCCTCGTCCATCTTCAACTTTCTTAATGACTTCACTGAACAGTTTTCGGATATTTTGGATTTTATTTTTATTCCTCATGGCCATGAATATTGGAGTTGGTTCAAAGCAGTTTGGACATCGATAACTTGCATTGTTTTTCCGAAACGGGAAGTTAATTTGGTGGCAAAATTCGCAAAATACATGAACACTGAAGTGAGGGCATGATTGCAGTAAAGGCAGCAGAAATTGTTTAATTTTTAAGAAGAATCATACGCGTCTATAATAGTTTAGAATTTTCATAACAGATGGCGCGCTAAAGCTTCATATTATGAAGATCTATAACGATATATTTCATGTGTATACAAAGTTTAATAATAATCCTAACGTAAAAAACAGTTCTGTAGCGTTTATTACGTCCAAAAAGTTATAATCTTCTTTATTCCTTAATGAATAACAGGAAATATAAATATAAAAACTAATGTATTGTCAATATTCTAACAAAATATTAATTATAATATAATATCCACAGATTATTAATTTTACTAATCTATTATAAGTAATATTTATCTCTATCCACCTCTCTTTTTTTTTTTATCTGAATGAGGTGTGAGATTAGTTTGGATCCAAAAAAATGGCTTGTCATCTTGACGTTTGTCTTCCTACATTTTTTCCTCCATGACAATAGTGAATATCTGTTAGGCTTTCTTCACAGCTCTTCTTCGCATTTGAATTTTAAAATATTGAGGAAATTTCAATGAGAATAGAACCGGTCGAAATAAATTATCATTGAAATTACCATTTATATTCACTATGTCAATTTCTTTATCTTGGATATAAAGATTCTACATTGGCAATGTTTGGCTCTCTTAGAGAAAAACTTCCCAATGAGACCTCCTAGAATATTGATAATACTGGTATCTCATGGAGAGGGTTGTCTCTTTATTGGAGGTTTTATGTGTTAGGTCATTCCAATAGCCACTTATAATACTCATAGTAACTATCGGATGTAGGTAGATTAGTGATACAAACGGTTGGTTTTCGACTTTTACGACTCGGGATCGAATCCCGCATTTTGGGCACCTTTTTTTAAAATAGAAAATTGCTCCAATGGCTTTCGGTTCTTGCAAAGGTCTAAATCAAGCAGTAAGTGCAAGTAAATAAATGGAGCTTTGGCATAATTGTAAGTGCAAATATCTAACTGCTCTCTACATGTGTAGACATGTGGCGCACTTACAGTGAAAACAGTCACTAAATTATACGGGCCATGATTATCATGGCCTGTAATACACGTGAAAAAGATTACGCCCGAAACGCGTCCGTGGTTAGCTTTTCTTGATAAATCAATAATGGGCATTTGGCCAATTCTGGAATAATTAAAAATCAACGAGAATAGTTGATATTTATTCCGATAGATGGCGCAAGCCATCAACAACTTTCAGTTGCACGATAAGGAGATGCCTTTTTTTCATAATGTACTACACGTGTACTAGGAATATTAATAAATAGTAACTATCATATAATATAAAGAATATCATAATTGTATATATGTGAAAAACAATTTTTTTTAAATGGTCAGGTGTTGGTATAAAAGCTAAAAAAAATACATGTCCTGAACACGCTCACATGAACCTTTTAGATGGACGAGCTCCATCTAGTGGAACAGAAATCAACTAAACGTTGATTTAGCTTGTTCCGTGATATTTGGCCAACTCATTTTCTTGATAAATCAAGAAAAGCCATTCACGAACGCGTTTCGAGCTGTTGGCGCTCTGTCATTCAAAAAACACGTGAACGTGGTCATGTGCCTTTTTTGATTTCATTATATATATATAGGTTGAATTTTGATTAATTAAAGTGAAAACTTCATCAACCTTTTTATAAAGGTTTATTGTCCTTTTTACGTTTCGGTGACCCACTGTTTCTCTTTTTAAAATAGGTGAAAAAAACCTAATAACACAATACTTCACTAATAAGTTTTCCACTTTTTTTTGAAAGGGCGACAGTTGGCTTCTAAAACGTCAAATTCAATAAACGTTTAAAACATTGGCCAAACACGTATATACGTATAACGTTTTGTTTCCTAATTTTGATAAAACGTCGAACTTTCTAGCTACAATGTTTTTATTCCTTGCCCTTATACGATTAAAATTTTATTATTTAATCTAAAGAAAAGTCTTTTGGATTGAAAGCTCTTCTTTTTTATATAAAAATAAATAGACGAAGCGTTAAAGGTTAAAAGTTATTGTGTTTTGAATCGTTCTATTTTACATTCTCAATCAAAGATACTTTGGCAAAGTAAATCTTTTTTATTATCTCGGGGGTTTCGACAAAAATATTTTTCCCTCGTCAGAAGCAAATAAAAATTGAAGCATTTGGCAATTATATTTGCTCCTGAAGAGGACAAACGATTTTTGTCGAAACGTCGAGATAATAAAAAGATTTACTGACCGAAGTATCTTTAATTATAAGAATCAGGAACGCCGGCCAGGCAACCTCTATCTTTACGATTCTCAATCCAGTTTAAAATAAAGCAAACGATACTATCGTAGCATACTCCATCTGCTGCGAGGTAAATGAATCAATTAAGGGTCAGTGATTGTGCGGTAAATTATTATTGATGGATCAGGGAATTCGATGATCGGGGTCAATTGATGCCATTCTGTAATTGGTGGAGACATTATCTCGGTAATTATGGGAGGCCGGATTTCTGGCATTTTTTAACACCATCTTCTGCAGTTGAATTTGATGGTAGAGGATTGGTACATATCGTTGATTTCCGACATCAATGATACGGGATTGGACGCTTTGTTTCTAAAGGAATCAGTTATTACCGAATCTCTCAGTATTTCTAATCATATATGATAAATAAAGAAAGTGTAAAAAAAGTTTGTAAGTGCAAAAGTCGAACTCTTTTTCCATGTGTAGCTATTTGGTGCACTTACAGTAAGTGTAATCGCTAACTACCCATAATGATTATCATTTCTTGTACAAGGTGTATTTTATAATACAATATAATACACTGCGGCCTGTAATTGTAAAACGACACTTGAAGTTACACCGCATGAGTTTCTTTTCAACGACAAATTAAAATTTTATTTCAAGGTGAAATATCGACTATTTCTAACCTTTTTGGATGAGGTATGAAAGGATGAATTATGAAGAGTAATGATAAACGGAAAAATAAAAGTGTCTATGGATGGGAATCGAACCCACAATGTTCCGCTTACCGGGCAGATGCCATGTCCACTAGGCTACCCTGGACGTATTTTTACGTTCGTAAATGATACATAAAGTAACTTATAATACAATATAATACACTGCGGCCTGTAATTGTAAAACGACACTTGAAGTTACACCGCATGCGTTTCTTTTCAACGACAAAGTCGTTTTACAAGATGTATTTGTTGTGAGTAAAAAATAGTCTGCACAATTCTACTGTTGTTGTCGTGTTCAATACAGATTCTTAAATGTATCAATGCATCTCCATCACAGAAGTCGCAATGTCCTTTATTTTAGGTGTGTAAAGCTGCTGCTCTGGGTCCATGTCAATTTTCTGCAAGGCTGCGGCCATTGCTGGACATTAGAATATGTGGGTAGATGTTAGTTCAACACCAGGATAATCGTTTTATTTTCATTTTATCACCATATATTATTACAGTAAAACCTCCATGAGAGGACACTTCCGCTAGAGGAGACATCTCTACAAAGGACAGTTTGAAGGTATTGAATTGAAAGCTGTTGATACAGCACATGTGGGATATTTGACGCACATGTACATGGCCAACTTGTTTTAATTACCTCTGAACACCAACGGAGCTGTTAAACGTCGCCCGTGAAGTTTTAATAATTTAATTTGGGCGCAGAGAAAATTAGAACGTCCTCTTAATTAACCGCTGAAAATTTTAAGGCTGGCCTGATTAATCCATAAATTTCCATAGATGCTCGGAACAAGGCCGTTACGGACTTCACATAGTTGTGATAACCAGCTCTGGACTTGGTTTGAATGAAATGGAACAATATACGTATATCAAACTTATACTTCAATACATCTCGGCGCTACTTTGTCGCAATTTACAAAGAAAGTAAGAGCATAATGGGTATTTATATGAAACAGAATAGACACCTCTCCTGGAAGGTTCTACTCTCTAGCCATTACTTATTCAAAATTCTGATGACAATATAATCATTCTAGTAAATAACAACACTATCCTAAAAGTCGCCTTTGCCTTCGAAATAGACACCAAAACTAGATCGTATATGCACACATGCCGACTCAGGTCGGTGACGAAGCCACAACACCAGCTTTGGAAAATTTAGAAGTGCTCACTTGGAGATCATGGTTTCGGGCTAATGGCCCTCTTCAGTCCAAGGCGAGCATTGATTATATGAAATCTACAAATAATCAAATGAAATCTTTACAATCTGATAATTTCCTTCGTGCAAAAATATTCTAACTACTATCTTAAATTTAACGTTTTCCGTGCGCGCAGTAATGAAAGGACACTCTCGCTAGAGAACAGATCTCCACAAAGGAGTATTACAAAGCCAAAATTACAATTCTTATTAATTATCAACTCTCCTTAACTGAATGAAGACAATTATGTTTGATCAAGGTCTTCTCTTTGGTTTATACGAATTCTAAAAGACCGCAGTCACCGTTCGGAGGAGAATAATAGAATCGCCGAATGTCGTGGTCCATTTGGATAAGGAAAGTGAAGACTAGAACGCGGCTGATTCCACAATCGGCTTTCCAGTGATACACAAACCTATGCCCGTTGGATTCTGTGGCCACTGGACATGCATCGGACCTGGAAGCTGATGGGCTCTACACTGCTTGGAATACAGGGGCTCTATCTATGCTTCCTTTCTATGGTGAATCTGTATAAGACCGGTGGTCTTAATAAAGCTGCATGTATATGTGTGTAATTAGCAACTATCCGGTAAGAAGACACTTCCCTCTTAAGAACACGTTGTTTCTGCAATTAGGTGTTGTCTTTTACAGTAATATTCTACTATAGTCTCTACAAATCAATGTATAAAACAATATCAGAAATAAATAGCAAATAATGGTGACAGCACCCGGGTTTTCCTTGAATCCATTTTTACCAAATAATATATATTAAATATAGAGCTATTTTCAAAAATAAAATTATATAAGAAAACCTTTAACAAACCTTTATCTGAATCTATTTTAATAGAATTCGATTCATTTTCGGGCACACTTTTGGGCTTATTTTTATAGAAATTACATAGGAATACTTCGACTTCTCCCAGGATTCTATCGAATGAAAATTCAGCTGAGTGAAATTTGATTTATATTGATTTTAGAAGTAGTAATGATAGAAAAAAAACCTCCACACATAAGTTTATAATGATTTCAAATAGTTACTTTAAAAAGAGAGGCATAACCGAAATGCGAACCTATGCTACTTTTCAAAAGGTTTTAGGCCTACTTTTGTTGAAAACGGTTTGCCCTACAATATATTTCTAAAAGGTCAAGTTTAAAGGATTTTAGTTATTTGATATATCAAAACTTTTTATAACATCTAGCTATATAATTCATGGGATATTTGCTTCAAACTGAGGAACAGTTGTTAAAACAACTGAATATGAGGAAAGATGTATTTTTATTTATATTTAAGTACGCTAAAATTCTTTTCCTTTTTAAAATAATATCAAATAGAGTTGAAGGTTTTGTCATATTGTACACCAATATGTTCTATTTTTAATCTATTTGAACCATCACAAGCATAAAATCAGTTTAATAACTTTAAAATAAAAAAAAATCTGAAATTTTAGATACTTTAAAATTTCTTCAAACGATTATTAAAAATAGGGTTAATTTAGTTTTGATGATAATGAGAAACGATTTTTAATTAAAATGAAAAATTAATTTAGAAAATATTTAGAAAATAATTTGTTTTTTTTTATATAAATATTTAAATTCATTATTAATTGTTTAAGAGAAACAATTTTATAAAAATTTAAATAATAAAAAAGAAGCGCAGTATAGAATCATTAAGAAAATCCAATAAAAATAGGGCATTCGAATAAAATGGCAGACGACAGTCACGTCCTGTTGACTCTAATTTTAACATCGTTATTTAGAATGGAAGTCACTGGAGGTCGCACGTGTTTATCATAAATATTGTGTTAGGCCTAAATCATTATTCCATTTCCCAAAGAACATTTTAAAGATATTAAGTATATACAGTTTCTTCTGCTCGATTTAAAAACAAAACAGAAGAATTACTTTTCTTAAATTCAATAGTTTTCATCCTTATTAAATTACTGATATGTATTTTTATTAAAGAATATATATATACATATTTAATTATAAAGGCATATATTGAATCAAAATATAATTTATTTTACCAATATTTCAGTTGGCCGAACGCCAACCTTTTTCAAGGTATTATAACATATTAATATGTGTCAACAACAAACTCAGCGCTACATGTTGTTTACATATATATGTTATAATAGCTTGAAAAAGGTTGGCGTTCAGTCAACTGAAATATTGGTAAAATAAATGATATTTTGGTCAAATATATGCCTTTTTAATTAAAGATTTATCTATGGATTGCTCAATTTTCAATATATATATTTTTTTAATTAAAGATTTATTTATGGATTGCCATATATAAAAAAATAATATATATATGTTATATAAAAATATTATTTTATTTTAAATTATAATTTCATAGATTCATATACTCTGCTAAATCGACCGCCAGAGGTCACTCTTCCCATATAAAAACTCGTTGTTGTTTTATCCCCGTTGGCCGGCTCAAAACTTTTGTACATTATGTAAATAATCTTTTGTTTTCCTTATTCTACTCGCCTTAAGCCAGGCATTACTTTTATCAAATTATGTTCTTTTATATATTCCTTCAGTTCAATTAAATTACTGATCTAAATTCAAGCAGAAAATCTCTTTATCTTTTTTAATTATATAACATATATATATATAAATAATAATAATAAAAATAAATATATATATATGGAAGCAATGGTCGCCTCTCCCGTCAAAATAAACGTCAGAATCTGACGCCATCTATTGACCGTCGCCGCAACTAGCGGCATCGGGTCGGTGACAAACCCGCAACACCAACTTTGGCAAACTGATAAGCGTCCACCTAGAGACCATGGTTTCGGGCTAATGGCCCTCGTCAGTCTAGGGCGGACTTTATTCCATGAGATCCACACTGGATCTAATGGAATCCTCACAATCTACCAAAGAGGTGTTTTGCTGGCAATGTGGCTGGGCCAAATCTATTGGCAAAACATAGATGGAAAATTTGCCGGGAGGAAATTAATCCATGGAAGCAATGGTCGCCTCTCCCGTCAATTTGGCCCAGCCACATTGCCAGCAAAACACCTCTTTGGTAGATTGTGAGGATTCCATTAGATCCCGTGTGGATCTCATGGAATAAAGTCCGCCCTAGACTGACGAGGGCCATTAGCCCGAAACCATGGTCTCTAGGTGGACGCTTATCAGTTTTCCAAAGTTGGTGTTGTGGCTATGTCACCGACCCGATGCCGCTAGTTGCGGCGACGGTCAATAGATGGCGTCAGATTCTGACGTTTATTTTGACGGGAGAGGCGACCATTGCTTCCATGGATTAATTTCCTCCCGGCAAATTTTCCATCTATATATATATATGTTATGAATATTTTGTTGTTGTTAGATAAGGCTTGATAAGACAAAGGATAGATAAGATAAAGGGTTGAGGTGCAGTCGTGATAAAAAAATATATAATTATTTACCGTCAAGTAGCTTTTATTTGAATTACTTGAGGAAAGATTACATATTAGTTATTTTCACATTATATAGAATTTATAAAGTTAATCCTATATTAGTGATTTAAAAGGATAGATATGTTAACTACGCATATTTACAACAAAACTGAAAGTGTCTCTAAAAACGATGATAACAAAAAATAAAATTATCAATGAATAAAATAAAATATATATTTTTTAAAATATAGAAATATTTGAGGTTTTAGATTATATTATATATATATATATATATATATATATATATATATATTGTTATTAAATGCTAAAGAAAATATTGAAATCAAATATTCAGGTATCAAACATGATCATTAAAATATATAATTGAGAACAGGACTTGAACCTATTAAGGTACGAATTTATGAATTTAATTGCCATCTATCGTTAAAATTTATTTTTGGAAAAATTTAAGATATGAATGTTTCTTCTAAATAAAACAAACTTCTACTATAATGCATTAGT